AAAAATATATTTTATTGATTTTTTACAGAGAGGAGGGGAGAGGGATAGAGAGCTAGAAACATCGATGAGAGAGAAACATCGATCAGCTGCCTCTTGCATGCCCCCTACTGGGGATGTGCCCGCAACCAAGGTACATGCCCCTGACCTGAATCGAACCTGGGACCCTCGAGTCCGCAGGCCGACGCTCTATCCGCTGAGCCAAACCGGTTAGGGCGACACTTATTTAAACCCATAATATAACAGCTGATTAACTTGTGGATTGCATTTCTCAAAAGCTAAAAGATAATAGTGGTTAGTATTTATTTAGGGTTGCTCTGTACAAGCACTGTTCTAACCTCTTAACATGTGTAATCTCAGATAATCATCCCACAAGCTTAAGAGGCGATACCATCATTCTTCCCATTTTACAGAAGAGAAAACAAAGGAACTGAGAGGCTAAGTCACTGACCTGAAGTCACACAGATGGTAGGTAGTAAGTTTTAGATTCAAACCCAGAACATCTCATTCTAAAGGCTAGACTTTTAACTATGATATAAGTAAAGTACTCCCCAACATCTGGTATCATTTGGGTCCAATTTGTGTTTTTAGACCTACTTTGCTCTTTGGCTGTGTGTCCAAAGGTAACTTTTTTGATGATTTCTGTTCCGTGGCATTTGCTTCCCTCCTAGAGCTGCTGGTGGCATTTTTATTCGTTGCTCCCCTTCTTAGCTTGACACCTAGAGACACATGTAGGCACAACAACAAAAACACCTTTTAAAAAATGAGTCCACCCACAGTTCCAGATCTTTCCCTTCATGAGTGTTTTGCTCCCATTACCAAGGCGTCTAAGAAATACTTCCCTGGTTTCGACCGTAGAGGGAAATTAAGCCGTAAGTACTCCTGGTTCTTTCGCGTTCAACCAGAGAGCTGTTCTTACCACGCCACCTCTGACCTGACGTTGTGAGTCCCCCTCCTGTGATAAACTTCTCTAACGGATGGAAGTAAGCAGGCTTACTCTGTTTGCGGGCATATTCTGCTGCTTTGGGTGCTGTTAACATGGCAAAAGGGTGCAAGGAGAGGCGGGAAGGTGGAGCTCGGGGAACCTGAAAGGAAAACAGTCCTCCTTTGAAACGCTGCACACACCGTGCTGCTCACACCTGCTGCCTATGGCACTTGGCCTGCCCAGCCCACAGTCCTTAGACGTTCCTACCGGTCCCCTGGCAGCCCAGGCTTCATTGTCAGGCACGTTCACACATTGTCTTCTACTGCCAGGCTGGGTCCCTCCTGCCTAGAATCACCCTGATACTCCTCAGAGTTCCCTTTACCTGGAGTGGCTACTTGCTTCCTCTCTGCCCAGGGGCTCTTTTCCTGAAGGCCCCTCCTCTTCCTTTGAGATGCAGCTCAAATATCACCTTTTCTGAGAAACGTGCCCAATGTCTCCACACCTTCACGCTCCTATACTGGCCTTCTGCCCCCTCCTCCACCCCAAGGCAGAATTACTGACTCTCATCTGTGCACTCAAAGCTCTTTTTGAACTCACATAGAACAAACCCAGTGTGTTGTGATTGTAATCCACTGTCTGCTGCACGGCGCTGGAAACTTATGCAAGGCTAGAACTATCCATTCATTCATTCATTCATTCATTCAACAAGTTTTCAGTGAGCACCTACCATGGTCCAGGCTCTGCTTTAAGGGCTGAGTGAGGAGAGACACTAAACTATTAGGCAACCTGGGTAATTATACATCATGATAAGTTTAATAAATATACTAAACAGATGATGTGCTAGGGAGTAACCGGACAGCCACCACTTCAGACAGAAGGGACAGAGACAGCAATGGAAGCCATTGAAATATTTTTAAGCAGTAGTATTACAAGGTCTGGCTCAGGTTTTTAAAAACATCAGTCTGGCCCAGCTGTGTGGCTTAGTGGTTGAGCGTTGACACATGAACCAGAGGTCACGGTTCGATTCCCTGTCAGCGCACATGCCCAGGTTGTGGGCTCAATCCCCAGTAGGGGTCGTGCAGGAGGCAGCTAATCAATGATTCTCTCTCATCATTGAGTTTCTATCTCTCTCTCCCCTTTTCCTCTCTGAAATCAATATATATATATATATTTTTTATTTTTTTTAAAGAGTGGGGCTGGAGAGCCCTGGATGGGTAGGTCAGTTGGTTAGAGCGTGGTCCCCATAGGCCAAGGTATTTGGTTTGGTTGGGGAGGGATGGTATTTGGTTGTGCTGGGATCCCATACTTGCCAGGACATTTAGCATACCTGCTCCCAAGACACTAAATGCCAGTTTTACCTCCCATTCATTGTGACAACCAAAATGAGCTCCTCTGTGGTTCCAAATGTCCCTTAGAGGGTGCCCCACAGTTCACTGAGAATCGCTGGCTGATGGTCAAATGGTCTTGCTGACAATAGTTAATCAACAGTTATCATTCCTTCTTTTAAGCTGTTAGTTTTTGATAAACAAGCCAAATACTTTCATGATATTTCTCTTTTGAGGAAAGAGTGAAGAAACATAATGGAGTTATCATACACTAACAAAATTACGTAAATCAGAATGGGCTGGAACATGAGGAATAAATTGTATTTTACTTTAACTCGTCTGAGGACTTAAACTTCTGAGTTATGCATCACTGCCTGGAGATACATATAAGTGCTATAGACAACCCTCGGAAGAACTGAGGAAAGAATGTTCACAAATCCAGGCTGCCTGACATCCATTATCCAGACCACCTGCCACCGGGAAGAGCAAGTTTCAGGCCAATCCAAAGGCTAGGAAAGCAGTACAGGGTCTTCTCAAGAATGTGCTTTTTCCTATAAAAACTCTTAAATTTTCTCCTTCCTTTGGAACATTCTGGATGTTACCTGGTAGTGTTGACAGATTTGCAAGTCTTGTGCCTCTTGAGTAAAAATCGCTGGCTGATGGTCAGATGGTCTTGCTGACAATAGTTAATCAACAGTTATCATTCCTTCTTTTAAGCTGTTATTTGTCATTTCATTTTAGTGGAGCCTCCAGATTTATTTATACTCTGTCAACACTTTCTACTTGTTCTAGTCAGAGAGAATAAATTTCCATTTATATAGTAGTTTGACATATTTAGATAAGGTAAAGCACTTTTTATAGTACTTAGCAAATCGTGAACACTCAACAAAGAGTTACAATATTCTTTATTGCTACCATTACCAGCTTTATTTGATTGTTAAATATTAGTTAAAAGCAGCAATATTTTACATCATTTTGAGCTTAAATTCCACCTGAAAGGAACTATTTTTATCTTTTCCAATTCCTACATTAGCACTCTAATCTCCCAAAGATTCCATTTCCTTGCCTATAGAGGTGGGGAATTGTATTGACACTATGGGGTTGTTATGAGGCTTAAATGGGACTGTGAAGTACTGGTGAGAGACAGCAACTAAGCAGATTTTTTTTTTGGGGGGGGGGGGTTGTTTGTTTGTTTTTGTTACTTGAACAGATTCAGGTGAGAGCAGGGGGAATCAGGGTGTGAAGGGGATAAAAAAACCTCAGATAGCTTCTGAAATCTGTGTAATCTAATTCCAAATATTAAATGCACATACTAATCACCTGGGAATATTGTTAAAATGCAGTTGTGAGTCAGCGAGTGAGGGTGGGGGAAGGGGCCCTGGGATTCTGCATCTAACAAGCTCCCAGGAAGAGACTTTACAATCTGACAGATCTGGATTTGCATCTGATTCAATCATTAATTTTATGTGATGTTGTCTTTGAGATTCAGGCTCCATATCTGTAAAATGGTGATAATAATACACACCTTATATAATCAGTATGGTAATTACACAATACAACATATATAAAACAATTGCCATACTGTAGACACTTAGTAAAAGTTTTGATTTCCTACCCAGAAGAAAACTTGTAGAGAGTTTTGAAAAGATTGATCAAACTAATAAAATTTCATTTTGGTGATACAGATTTATTTTTCTTAAAAGTGGTTGTGGCCTGCCCTAACTGGTTTGGCTCAATGGATACAGCATCAGCCTGCGAACTGAAGGGTCCCGGGTTCGATTTTGGTCAAGGGCACATGCCGGGGTTGCAGCTCAATCCCCAGTGGGGGGCATACAGGAGGCAGCCGATCAATGATTCTCTTTCATCATTGATGTTTCTCTCTCTCTCCCTCTCCCTTCCTCACTGAAATCAATAAAAATGTACTAACAAAAAAAAAAGTGGTTGTGGCCCTCGCCGGTTTGGTCAAAAGTGTGGGTGGCCTTGGGACCCCTGAAGTGTATGCAGTGTCTGAATTTAGGACAGTCACATGGAACACTGAGCCCATGACTTGTGGAGTATGACCCTACTCTGGGGGTAAACATCAGAAATGTATGGCAGTACCCCCAGTTGCAGGTGAAATACAATGGAAAGAGACCTAGAGCTGAACCTCGCCAACATATAATGTGAGGGAGAAATAAATCTTTGATGTCTTGAGCTACCAAGATCTTGTTTATTTTGGGAGCATCATGTAATCAAATCTGACTGGTACAAAAGTACTTAGATTCCATTCTAAAGGAATTATGTCTGATTAGCTAAATTACTAATACTTAGTCTGGTGGGGAACATGGTATACCACACAGGGATACAATGGTCTGTGGTCACTCCTGCTTTGGGCTGCTCAGCATATTTTGCCCATTCCTTTTTGTCAAGTCACTGGCCAGGCCAATCTCAGTAACTGCACATAGTGATGGAAAGAGATCCCAAGAGGCAGGCCAGGACCTCTCCCCGGGGTTCCCTAGCTTGGAGTGCAGCTGAAGCTCCCAGTGACCCCCTTTCCCATCCTGTGGAGAATGCCTGTCTGCAGAGAAGCTGAGCAGAGATGGCAGAGATGAAAGACAGACATCCATGAGGACAGACCTCATGGCATTGCACCCCAGTTTCAGGACTCTACAGCCCAGTTCCTGCAGCTCAACTTTTCATTCCAGAACTCAGCTTAGAATCCTTCCCAACTGCATGAGCTTGGAATTATTTTTCTTTAAGCTGATGTGAGTTGGATATATCTCATGATAACTGAAGAGCCCAGACTAATGCAAACTACAATTGAAACAATTTTGGCTATAAGAAAACTCTTTGGGTGAATTTTGTATTTTATTTTTGTTTTAATGGATTGGTATTGTTAAGTTGATACATTTTCAGAATTCTAGCTTAAAAGAACCCTGGGAACTACCAAATACAGAGATCACCAAAGGAAGAGAAGGACTCCAAAGTGAACAAAAAGACTTGAATTTCTAAAATTCTCTTGGATGGGCCAGGCCATGAGTAACTGTTGTCTAAGTATGCAAATAGTATTATCTCGAACAACTAAGCCCAAGTTATCTCATTATAAACAAAATTTTCCAGAATAGTAAGTCGTTTTTAAAAGGATTACAGCTTGGTAATTTGCATTTGACTTTAAGCTCCTTTTGAGGAATGATTTTATACAAATAGGGTTTATTTTCTCTCGCTGGCAGTTTTGAGACAAGAAACAAAATAAGCACAGTTGCCTATACTGCACATAGCATGTGACTATGTGTTTGGCATCAGACAGACCTTAGTTCGGGTCCAACTTTGTTGCTTAACACCCATCATGCCTTGGATAAGTTACTCAGCTCCTCTGGGCTTCAATTTCTTTATCTGTAAAATAAAAGTAACATTTATACTATTTATAATCTGTAGATTAAATGCTTAACATATATATTTAGCAGGGCATATGTTCTATGCTTAATAACTGATAGTTACTAGTATTATCATATTGAGTAATCCAGGCTGCTTCCAGGCTGTCTAAAATGTGTTGCTATATAAAATAAAATCCTCTGCCAAAACCACTTTGGGTGGAAAGTTACTCATGGGATTGGAAAGATGCCTACTTTGTCTAACATCTGTATAATCATTATCTTACTATTTGAATTAAAAATAGTGGGATACACTTTTGAAAAGCAAATAGCAACCATATTGAGGGGCAGAATGTATTTAAAGAGAAAACGGATCACTTTTAATTTGGTCTAAAAATATCGACCTCAAGCTGAAATAAGAACGGCTTATTATTACAGTCCTTTCCCCCTCAAAGAAACCTTAGCCCTTTAAATCTGCATGTAACTAATACAGTGTTATTAGCTCATGACAATGATTTCACTTGGCCAGATGGTTTCCATTTGGCTCAGGCAAGTATTCCCAGAGAAATGGCTCCTAGGAAAGCATGTCTCCATACTCCATAAAGTAGTTCTAAGAATTAAATGAGATAATGTGTGCAAACTATTACAGTGCCCGACACGTAGTGGGGACTCAATAAATGTCAAGTGCACGCTTGTGCACGTGCGCGGGCACACACACACACACACACACACCCCTAAAAAGGGGCCTGAGAAGGAAGTTCTAAAGCAGAAAGGGAGAGTCTGGGAGAGTGGTGTCAGTTGAGGACACAGTTAAAAGATGAAGGAAAAGTCAGGGGTGTTAAATGCTACAAAGAGGTCTTTGTGGGGTTGTGTGGGGTTTTTTGTTTGGTTTTTTTTGTTTGTTTTTAGCTAAATTCTACATTTTGACATCTCACATAGTTGGCCTTCTGACCTCCATTAATGTGATGTCATTAGAGATATTAGATCACCCTTTGAGACATGTAATTAGCAGGAAGAATGATCTCAGTGTTGTTCAGGAAAGGAAATCACAACATGAGAGTCTGGCTGTTCTGGCATCATTACATTCAATAAGAAAGAGGCGCCTGAAAAGCATCCACTGAATCTGGCAGCGGTAACTTTGGAGGAGGAGTTTCAGTAGGATGCGTGAGGTACTATCATTTGAGGAACTATGACATGTGAGAATGGCGATACAGAAATTACCTGTTCTGTTAGAGGGTTGGCTCGGACCAGAAGAGGACACCCAAAACAGTAAAGTGGAGAATAGGATCAAGTTTGCTTCTTTGTTTAAAGATGCAAAACACACATGAGTGTATGCTCAGGAGGAAAAGTTGGAAATATAGAAGAGAATGATAGTTGGTATATAAGGTAAGAGGTTGTAGGATCCAGATCACAAGTGGAGGGTGCACACCTTTTACTGTAAAATGAGAAGGAAATATGAATGAGCATAAATGTCATAAACTTTTAAGAATGGGAGTAGAGAGTTTACATTTCTCATGGTGTACTCTACTACATTTGCTCTGAACAGTTAGACCTGAGATTGAGGGGCAAGAAGTTCAAGGGAAGGAGTATAAGATTCATGCATAGAATTAGAAAACTAGGTGATTGGTTTGATATCAGCACATAATAAATTTTGGGTACGATAGCTTTAAACCCACAAATTTCTTCATAGAGTCCATGAATGACCCTACTTATAAAGGAACTGGAGCTCTTCTGAGCTTTTGAACTAGGTCTTTGGAGGGTAAAATTTTAGTCTGAAGCTTTGCTGGAAAAAAAACAAGTGGGTTTAAATTAACCTAGGGAGTGGGTATGTGTAGTCAAAAACTGGAGTCATGGATCTCATTCCTCAAGGGTTCAAGGATTAGCACAATGATGGAAAAACTCCCTCTCTCTTCTGCTCTATTATCATTTTACTAGAGGCCCGGTGCACGAATCCGTGCATGGGTGGGGTCCCTCTGGGTGGCCTGCAAGGATCGGACCAAAACCCGCAGTCCAACGCCGCCTGCAGCTTGCTTCTACCTGCTGCTCCCGCTCATCCCCGCCCCACTGTGCCTGCTGTGGGCTCGCCATGAGCCCTGCATCTGGCGCCCTCCCAAGGGGAGTGGCCTGCGGGAAATCAGCTCTCCAACATCCCCCAAGGGGTCCCAGATTGTGAGAGGGTGCAGGCCAGGCTGAGGGACCCCACCAGTGCCGGATTGGCTGGGGAGCAACCACGGGAGGGCTCCAGGGCTGTCCGGCCCATGTCACTCAGTCCCAATCGCCGGTCCCCAGTAGCAAGCTAACCTACTGATCAGAGCATCTGCCCCCTGGTGGTCAGTGCACGTCATAGCGAGTGGTTGAGCAGCCTTCGCATATCATTAGCATATTACGCTTTGGAAAGAGGCGCCTGAAAAGCATCCACTGAATCTGGCAGCGGTAACTTTGGAGGAGGAGTTTCAGTAGGATGCGTGAGGTACTATCATTTGAGGAACTATGACATGTGAGAATGGCGATACAGAAATTACCTGTTCTGTTAGAGGGTTGGCTCGGACCAGAAGAGGACACCCAAAACAGTAAAGTGGAGAATAGGATCAAGTTTGCTTCTTTGTTTAAAGATGCAAAACACACATGAGTGTATGCTCAGGAGGAAAAGTTGGAAATATAGAAGAGAATGATAGTTGGTATATAAGGTAAGAGGTTGTAGGATCCAGATCACAAGTGGAGGGTGCACACCTTTTACTGTAAAATGAGAAGGAAATATGAATGAGCATAAATGTCATAAACTTTTAAGAATGGGAGTAGAGAGTTTACATTTCTCATGGTGTACTCTACTACATTTGCTCTGAACAGTTAGACCTGAGATTGAGGGGCAAGAAGTTCAAGGGAAGGAGTATAAGATTCATGCATAGAATTAGAAAACTAGGTGATTGGTTTGATATCAGCACATAATAAATTTTGGGTACGATAGCTTTAAACCCACAAATTTCTTCATAGAGTCCATGAATGACCCTACTTATAAAGGAACTGGAGCTCTTCTGAGCTTTTGAACTAGGTCTTTGGAGGGTAAAATTTTAGTCTGAAGCTTTGCTGGAAAAAAAACAAGTGGGTTTAAATTAACCTAGGGAGTGGGTATGTGTAGTCAAAAACTGGAGTCATGGATCTCATTCCTCAAGGGTTCAAGGATTAGCACAATGATGGAAAAACTCCCTCTCTCTTCTGCTCTATTATCATTTTACTAGAGGCCCGGTGCACGAATCCGTGCATGGGTGGGGTCCCTCTGGGTGGCCTGCAAGGATCGGACCAAAACCCGCAGTCCAACGCCGCCTGCAGCTTGCTTCTACCTGCTGCTCCCGCTCATCCCCGCCCCACTGTGCCTGCTGTGGGCTCGCCAGCCATGATCCCTGCATCTGGCGCCCTCCCAAGGGGAGTGGCCTGTGGGAAATCAGCTCTCCAACATCCCCGAAGGGGTCCCAGATTGTGAGAGGGTGCAGGCCAGGCTGAGGGACCCCACCAGTGCCCGATTGGCTGGGGAGCAACCGCGGGAGGGCTCCAGGGCTGTCCGGCCCATGTCACTCAGTCCCAATCGCCGGTCCCCAGTAGCAAGCTAACCTACTGATCAGAGCATCTGCCCCCTGGTGGTCAGTGCACGTCATAGCGAGTGGTTGAGCAGCCTTAGCATATCATTAGCATATTACGCTTTGATTATTTGTTCGGTTGTTATGCTGTTTGTTCTATTTGCATATTACCTTTTTATTATATAGGATTATTGTATTTGTTTCCTGGCAGCCTTTGTTGCAGACGCCCTCTTTGCTCATGGGTAGGAAATTCATAATCCAAGGCCATTCCCAGAAGCTTGTGTTATGATAACCTTCTGAATTTTACCTGGATCTCCAATATTATTAGTCAGTCATTTAAAAATACTTTAGGGTCAAAAGCTGTTGTGGCTCATTGTAGAGTGAGCCTGACTTTATTTCAGTTCAAAGGTGCAATGACATAAACAGCACACAGAGAGTAATTTTACGGTTACACTGGAAAACGCAAGAGATAAGCCTGAATATGAAGATGGATTAATTTTCAAGGTCACTGTTTCAGTAAAGAAAAATCTAATTGAAGTAAACAGATTCCAAGTAAGTTTTGGCTAATATTGGCCTCTCTCCAACAGGCTGAGTGTGTCATAAATTATTCACATGTGTTGATGAGTTACTCTGGTTGCCATGATAAGAGGCTGGCTACTGCTCCATGTCCAGCTCATCCTCAATTTCTTCTAACAAAAGAGCACTCTTACCATGAATAGGTCCCCCTGTCCCTGGAGAGATTTTTTCGTATATAAATAAAAGCTGCCTGAGCCCCTGGGTCTTCAGTCTCGCTGAGCCAATTAACAGCACTATCCGTTTCTACCACAAGGTGGCGCACGCAAACCTCCAAAGATGTGGCGCAGCTATGCTGCAGAATGCCAGCCTTCACGGAGCCAGAAGCGGGTGTTAGAGTAGAAAGGATCATCTAAAATCGCCGTGCGTTTCACAAGTGAAAACCCTAAGACCCAAAGGAAATAAGCGACCCAGCCGAAACCACGCGCTGCTTTGGCTAGGGCAGGATCAAAGTCCGCGTCTCCACATTGCCAATCCCAAATTCATTCACCAGGAGGCAGTGGTTTTCAATCAAAAACAAACGGACAAACAGAAACACTCTCTTTTATCCCAATGAAATTGTATAAAGAATACATACTTCTTCCACACCCTTCCCCCGCCCCTCCCAACCCTTACTTGAGTAGATAAATGAAAATAGATTCTCTCTAATTGAAAGAATTGTCCCTGCCCAGCCAGGGTGGTTCAGTGGTTGAGCATCGACCTATGAACCAAGAGGTCTCCGGTTCAATTCCCAGTCAGGGCACATGCCCGGGTTGTGGGCTTGATCCAGTAAGGGGGGGGCGGGGGGAGGAGGAAATGCAGGAGGTGGCAGATCGATGTTTCTATCTCTCTATTGACAGATGAGAAATCTGAAGCATAAAGATCACAGAGCAGGGAA